CCTTCTTTGCGGCCCATTTGCTTTCTAAGAAGCTCCAGGAATAGATGCTGATACTGAGAAATTCTTGCTGATCCTTGATTTCTTTTGTTGCTAAACATTTCCTTGCACATGCAAACTCAGAGCAGTCTGCATATATTTCTGGTCCTGCACCTAGATGCTACCCTGGATCAAACTCACCAGCATGAAAACTAAAACTGCTGCCTCTCTGAGTGCTAATTGTGAGCCATTCTGACTGTATTTGAGACTGATATCTGAGGAGGTTTTGAAAATGTGCACACTCTCAAATGCACCCCCATAAATTGGAAAAAAAATGAGGGGAGTTTTGCTTCTCTGCCCGCCAGGCAAAATTCCAATCAAACGTATGACAGTCCTGAAGTTTGGCCAAGCTCTAAATGCCAATGCAAAACAGGGGAGGGATGTTTACCCCTCCCTCACTAATGATGCCCCTGAATGAAGGCGGAAGTCTGGGCCAGTTCTAAATTAATAATAGAGTCACCTGCTTCTAATGGAGAGCGGACAAGCTATAAAGTCTCTTGTGAGGAACAATTGTTTAGCTTGTTAGCTCTCCAATTTAAGAAAAGGCTGCAAAGTCATGGGAAACTGTTTTGATGAGGTGCCTTCTGTGCTTGCGCATTTAATATCACTACATTGCCAAACTGTTGTTTGCTATCTTGAACCCCCAGTGGGAATGTCCTGCAATGGTGGTGAGTACCTCTGATGAATTCACGAGATTTGCAATATACAGAAGATGCAACGCAGGGGCAACAGTACAGTGGCTGCATTCACACAACATTGCATGGTTACCATGGTTCATGGTTTTTCACCATGATCTACCTGGCAGACAATTAAGCAGTCTTTATTTTAACATGGTTTCCATCCTCTTTGCTCAATCCTCCTACGAATGTCATATATCACATCAGCCTCTGCCTGAAATTTAGTCCCAGGGAACATCATTCCCTGCCTGTGTCACCTGACTCTTCCTCCTTGGTCCACACATGGAGGTTGGATGGCAAGAGCAGCTCCTGCAGTTGCCATTCTTTCCAGGGGACTCTGTGGTCGTTGCATACCAGGATCATGGAAACCACAATCCCAGGTACAGACAACAAAATAAGCCATGGTGGCAGGGAGAAACTATGTTTTTTTCATGGTTTCTTTTCATGGTTTCTAAAGACCAAATGTATCATGGTGAAATAAAACAGCTCAACAATGGTTAAAAAAACCAAATAAATAACCCATGGTTTGTTGCGTTGTTTGAACCCAGCCAGTGGAACTAGTTGTTCTATTGATCCTAGCCTGAAACTTCATGGTTAAGAAATCTCATCTGTATCTGAGGGGAGGTGTTGAAAAAAAAGAGGAGCTGAAACTCCCTCCCTTCTTTTACATTTTGGAGTCAGTGAAGCAAAAGTCACTGGCTCTCCTCCTGAGCTGATACTCATTTTGATTTTTTTCCAAGAATGCCTGGAAAGATGCCACCTATCATATACAGTGTTATCGTCAGAGTAATTCAAAATGAAGGGATAATGACCCCTCCCATTGGCACCAACCAATTTTTTTAAATCAATGGGGTTTGCTTCTGAGTAGATTTATTGTTTGAATAAAATTTATTTACTTATTATATTCTATACTGCCCAATAGCTGAAGCTTTCTGTATTGTTGTGCTTGGGGAGGGCAGGCATAAATCCTGCTGGTTTTTAAAAAAGAAAAGAAAAGAAGAAGAATTATGGTATTTCTGGAGAAATATATCAATGAAAGCTTCCCCTCCCCATGTAATAATTCATTCAGAATTACTGTGACTTGAGCAGGCTTTACAGAAAATTGGCTCTGGTGACTGAAATCTTTTGTCACTGAACATAATAAGTTGTGTTTGTGACTTCTTCTTAAAGATCCACATGTAGGATGAGTTAATATCAAAGCTGTACTTCTCAAATCACTTCTTCTCCATCTGGCGACCTTCAAGGTTGGAGGCAATAGTACGGATGGACAGGTCTATGGATGAGAACAAGTTATCTCATCTAGTGTGCGAAACCTAGAGCAACAAGTTCTGCATGGAGCTGCACTATAGTTTCATCTGCTTTGATTATTAGGTATGAAGGATCTTCTTTTAGGAGCATCACTATTTCCTGAAAAACCTTACATAGGGTAAATGTTCACCTCTCTGATTCCCTTTGCTGCCATTGCTTCCAATGTGCTGATACTTCAGTGCTATTTTCTCTCATTTCTTTCAGCGCACAGGCAATCCTAGCTAATCTAGGATCATAGCAGTAAAATTCACATAATCCTCCACATGCCCTGAAATAACTTCTGCGGTGGGTTGAATGGCTGTGTGGACTCACCTCGTCCCTGGAGTGGATACACCCTGCAACTGCCTTGACACCTGCAGCTGAAAAACCTTCCCAGTGTCTACCTGGTTGGCCAGAATGGGAAAGGGGCCTGTGTGTGTGCTAATGTACACAGATGAGGTCCTCACGCAAAGGTTGGGGCACTCTGGATGGACCAGGTTGTCCATCATGTGCAGAAGCTTTTTTCTAGAGCCCACCGCCACAAGAGTTGCATGCAAGGACAAGGGGGGGGGGTGCATGGATGTGGCCATGTCCCTGTAAGCCCTTTCAGATGCTTTCTCAATGGGTGGAGGCTCTTGTATGAAACTGCCCTATCACGAATGGGACAACATCCGAACACTAGACAGCAACTCGTATTTGGTGATCTGACACTAAGGCAAACGGAAGCCAGTTGCGAGTGAGGGTGATACCAGCCTCTGAGCGAATTTGCAGCAAACCGCACCATGTGGCTGGACATCACAGCAAAATTCGGTTCTGATCTCATGTGTTGCCAAGGGGACCTTGGGCTTATGTTCCTCCAAAACACACTCTCCGTGTGCTGTAAGGCACACTGCCAAAGGGATTTTCAAAGACTCGCTGTGGAATGTCATGTTGGGAGATGCCTGAACTCACTCTCTGGAGGCTGGCCTTCACCCACACACATCACAGCACTTAGAACTTAGAAGCCCTCCACTGTCACTGTCGGGTGGAAGCCAATGTGGCACCTCACCCACTCAGGAGACAGCAGATTCAGCCACATCATCTGTGTGTCCAACCAACTCAGGTGTCATAGGCATGAATAAGCTGACGGCGGATGACTGCATCATGAGTAGATGTTTGGGTCTTCCAGAAGTGGCTTCGGGGACCCTTCCAGTCCTTTGGTGGCATCACGCATTACGGAGGCTGCAGGAGAACAGCTTTTCAAAGGCAGCACCTTGGACTGAGTCCAAGATTTATTTCCTGTGGTGTCCCATGCTAGCAGGACACAGGCTCACTGAACTGCGGCCATTCAAACACCAGAAGCATGACAGCTAACCCTAAAGTTTCTCGAGAAGTTCAGTCTTAGCAGATTCCAGTCCCAAATGACCGGATTCACACCCCTGAGGCTCACATGAGGACTGGAACTTCGCTACTCAGTGGAGTTCACATTCCCAAGGGCCGTAATGTCCTACTAGTGCACATTCTCCAATACGTGCCTTGAAATACATATTCAGAGAAGGATTTAAAATGCAGATTAAAATGGACATGGAATGGAACTGTGGGTGAAGATATGCCGATGCGGCATGAACCTGAATAAGACAGAGCTGCCTATAACAGCAAGACACAACTATTGGACAGAAATACCTTTGATTTTCATCCACATACATCATCATCAACATGGAACGTGATATTTACCGCTAAACCCATGATAAAGTCAAAACACAAAGAGAAATCATCAAAATACTTGTCAATAGAACAATGGCTAGCCCAGGTTTAGAAAGCTGTCATGATTGTTCAAAAGGACTTGATGCACAGAATGCAGCAAAAAGTGCTACCTGTCCAAGTTTCCATATAGCCCCTGTTCTATTCTGGAATTCAGACTATGCCGTGTTACAAACGAATACGACTTTGGCCCAGAAATTATACTGGCTGTGAACTGATTTCCCTAATGTAAAACCATTTCTTTCTATGCAAAAGGTGTGGTACCTGTTAATCTGTCATTTTAAAGGCACCCCCCACCATTCCTCCAAAAAGAGAAAATCTTATTTTTTGGAAAACACTACCAGAACAGTAACGAGCGAAGCAACATTGCTAATATCTGCTACTGGTTCAGCCCAAGTACGAATCAGATCTTACAGGCTTTGCTTCAATCCCATTGGGAGCATCTCCTTATGGGAAGAGAGATCATACAAATAATGCTGATCTACTGCCCAGAAAAGGAAGTGGGGGCTGAATTAAGTCCCCAGTGCTATCTCATCTCCACTTAGCTGCCTCATGTGCACGCAGCTCACCACCCTTGTGCCCACTCAACAGACTGCAATGCCAAGCCTCTTTGTAGACACATCATTCCACATGCCAGCTTAACAGCAACAAGTCAACTTCCACTCTTGTATTACAGAATGTGCTTCAAATGAATGAACACGCTTACAGATACACACTGTCCAGATCCCACAAAAGGATTCCTTGCATTTTCCTTTTGTTAAAAACAACACACTTCTACAAAAGGCTGCTCAAGAAAACTTCTCAAACCGATTCTCCACCTTTCCTCTGCTACATAAAACAGGGCAAGGGCTTCCCTAATAAAAACAAGGCAACTTTGCAATCTTCAAAGCAAATGCGGCTGCGAGAGAGCCTCACCTCTGGCTAGGAATGCACTTCATGAGAGAAAACTATCATTCCTAGGATACCATTGCAGACAGTGAATGGGGTTTGTTGTGTATTTCAGGCAATGGGTTGGATGGAGACTCAAGTGAGAATCAGAGTGGCACAGCAGTCAGTGTTCTGGACAATCGATCAGTCAGTGATGACTAACTTCTAACCATTGATCTACAACTACAGATTTGAAATCAGTGCCATTCTGCATATGCATAGACTCATTTGTCTCTTTATGAATGGCCACAATTCAATGAATGGGAGCTGTTGGAAAAGGCATGAGGGAAGGGGGGAACCATTAAAACAACTGATAGATTCACAATCTCTGACCTGGATTTGCTGCTGGAGAAGGTTGATTTTGTGTTGCTGCTGCAGGAGCTGCTGCTGCTGTCTTGCAATCTGTGGGGTCAATGTCCAAACAAGAGAATTTAGTGGGGTTTGAATCACACAGATCCTCCTCTTAACATTGGGGAAAAGAGGGAAGGGAGTGGAAGGAATGCTCAGGATACCTGGGCGACGGAGATGGGAAAAGCAAGCAGTGGTGCATTTTCATGAACGGCCAAAGGTGGGGACCTGCCATGTTGGGGCAAAAACAGCAGTGAAAGCAAAAGGGATGAAGACCATGTGGAGGGACTGAACTTTGTTTCAATGGACCAGCCAAAATGGTGTCTTTAAAGCACTCAGCATCCCTTGGGTTGTCCTTCTTCATCACAGCATGGTAAATTCAAAGCAACGGACGGGGGTTAAGTGTTTCAACCACTCTGTTAGGAGCATATGAGAATTTCCCTTTTGCTCACAAAGCATGCGCTTGCCTCCTTGGAAGCTCCCAAAGCCAAGCATGAGCTGAGCACGCGTGTCTGCCAAAGATCTTCACAACTTGTTGAGCATAGTTGCATTCCTCATTCGCCATTGCAATTTGTGCACATTTTCACTCTAGGTTGAATCAGTCCCACTTTAACTTATGGAGGATATTTGCCCAATCTGGGGGTAAAATGTGCCAAACTCTTCCATTTGGTTGATGACCACTTTGTGCTGGCTTCCCACTTGCACAAAGGAAACAATAGTCACAAACATGGAAGGGAATCAGGTGTGTGGCAGGCAGTAGGGCCATGTTCAGAGAATACCAGTGATCTCAAAGACTGCTAATGTGCCTATTAATGGGACCAAAATATGTTTCAATGTAGAGAGGGAGAGAAAGGCCAAGTCACTGTGTTTTTCTTTATGCTCCCTTGAACTATTGATTTTAGAAGGAGCCATGGAGCTCCAAGACTTCAGCTGGTTCAGAATAGAGCTGCCAGGTTATTGACGGGGACCGGCAGATACTTCCATATCACGCTGGTCCTATATCATCTACACCGGCTGCCAACTGAAGTCCAGGCCCAATTTAAGGTGCCGGTAATGACCTATAAGGCCCTAAATGGCTTGGGTCCTGGATACCTGAAGGAGTGCCTTCTTCCCCATGTGCCTGCCCGTCCCTTGAGATCTGAGGCAGAGGTCCTTCTCCGGGAGCCCTCTTTGAAGGAAATTAGGACAGTAGCTTCTCAGAGAAGGGTCTTTTCAGTGGTAGCGCCCCGACTGTGGAACACGTTTCCCAGGGAGGTTTGCCTGGCACCATCGCTTTATTCTTTTCAGCGTCAGGTGAAGATCTTTTTATTTTCCCAGTTTTTTAACAGTTAATTGGTTTTATCTGTGTTTTTATCACCATTTATCAGATGCAGTGTGTTATGTGTTGTTTGTTGTATATGGTTGCTTTGTTTTTTTGTATTTTGTATTTGTTTTTTGTAAGCCATCCAGAGACTTTTAGTATTGGGATGGCACATAAAAACTTTAAATAAAATGAATGAATAAACAAGCTACCTGGGTGACTTTGGGCTAGTCACTCCCTCTCAACCTACCCTCCCTCACAGGGTTGTTGTAAAAATAAAGGGAACAATGTAAGCCTCCTTGGGCTACAGGAAAAGGAGGGACATAAATTCAATATAATAATAACAGAGCGATCAAAGTTGCCATGCATTTTATCCAGTGTCTGATACCCTACCCCTTGCCCACAGCACACACAAGAATAATGCTGCCATGACATCCTGAAATATTCCACATGCAATGTTAACGGGCTGTTAATATTCACTCCCAAATTAAAGAGCGGACCTGGATTAAAAGCCCCCTTTCATGCTCGCTCACCTGTTCTTGCTGCTGCTTCGCCAGCTCCATTTGCTGGCGCTGCTTCTCAATTTGCGAGGCCGCCAGTTTCTTCTGCTCATCGTGAGCGGCCAGCAGCTGCTCCCGCAAACTGGTCAGCTGATTGATCATGCCCATAAGCTGCCTCTCCTTCTCAGCTAGGCTCTCTGGAGTCCCTGAGCATCATACGGTGACAAAAGGTAAAGGGAGAGAGGAGAGAGAATGACAAATGAGAACTGGGGACAGTTCCAATCGAACTGTCCCTCTAAAGCAGAGCAAAACAAGGGGAAAAAACACACACGCATTGCCGTGCAGTGACCCAAACCAACTTAATTATTTACTTGCTCACCCATTCAAAGGATCTTTCCCCTGCATTGGCTGAAAATCCAAGAGCCCTGTTCTTGAGATAGATGCACACAGCCATGGGCTCCCCACATGAAGCGAAGAATCAGTAAACACATGCCTGCTGCTCAGCAGAAAGTTTGTGCTGCTTTGACTGTGGAGAGCATCTGGCTGCAGAAGAAGGAGGCCCCGAAGACGGGGCTGGCTTTTTGGGTTTAGGGCAGGTTTCCGGACCCCTACCCCCCTTTGACATTGCGCTGCAAATGGGCAAGCGAATGCCTAACCCTACTTGGAAGCTAGGTATTGGCAGCTACTGCTGCATGGCAGGCCCAGCCTGTGCTCAGCTTTCTCGGGATGTTGGGTCCAAGCCCAAGCCTGGTCTCCCTCGAGTCTAAGCCCTTCCTTCCCCCCCTTCATGTTCTTAGACATTCGGAACCAATCTGTACTTTGCCGCCTCCAGATACTGGTGGGCCACCTTTCCCTTCTGACCCTCTGAGTTGTGGGCAGGATGTACTCCAGCCCACTTACATGGACTGGGACAATCTGGATGAGAGTCCGGTGGTTTGCTGCATGAAATCACATGGTAGAAGGATAAGAAACTCATCTCAGGGATTCGTGAGCAAGTAGAAGCCGGGATGCAGCTCCCATCCCACCAAACCGAGGCAGCAATTTATGTAAAGGAAGTGAACTGTTCCACAGGGCTAGAACCTCACTAAGCAGCTGGTCAGATCCTGGCAATAAAAGGGTTGTGTTCACCCCACCCAATGAACTAGCTCAAGCCCATGTGTTGGTCCCGGAGTTCATGGACCACCTTGGGCCATGCGGATGACCAGTACCAGGGTCTTCTTGATGGTAACGCAACTGTTATGGGATTTCTTCCCACAGAGTAACAGCAAGTCACTTTTCCTTCTTGCTTTTCTGCCCATTGTGAAGAATTTTTTTCTTAATTATTTGGGGAGCAGTTATAACTTCTTTTCTCTCCTTGCCTTTCTGTCCTCACCTGCTGCCTTTGTGAATCATGTTTAGTGACTGCAGCATTGTTATTTGAATTATTCTGCTGTTAGCCATGTCTGCTTTTGAGTAGTTGTATCCTGGTTTAAACATGTAGCTCAGGTAGAAACACAATCTATAATATATCAAATAAATATCAGGCCTAAACAAACACAACCCTATGAATGCTGAGCAGAAAAAAGACCCCAGAAAAATCCTCTGAACATCATCCAGCTTGTATGGCTGACTGGGACATGCTGGGACTCTACAGCTTTCTCTGTCTAATGATGCAAAGGATTATACCCTAAATCGTAAAATAAGCTGCTTTTAGGATAGATCAAATACAAAAAGTGCCACTCCTAACTGAACAACATCCATTGGGCCCTCCAAGTTATTTTAAAAAGGAAACAAACAGAAAAGCACTGGTGGGCAATGTATACCCTACTCTCAGGTAGGCATAGAAGCGAGAGCTCCCTATATTTGTTCAGGCACACAGTGAGGGGTCGCCTGCTAATTTGGGGATGAACCTTCGGCAGTATAAAAGGTGCCACCGTCTATCGCACCTGCCACACAACTTTGGGGTAGGTGTTCTCTGCTAATTTCTGCCCTGCTCTTTGGAGTGGCATCTTTCTCTTGCTGTTCTCATGGGTGGGTAGCTGGCAACCCCCTCAGTCGGGGATGAAGGCAGAGGGCTGGGCTTGTCTGCACTGGAAGAGACACACTGGTTTGCACAGCACGCATGCAGGGAAGCAAGACGCTCGAGTGGGCGTCAGCACGCACCAGAAATACCTTGGACACCTCTCTGAAAATACTTCTACCCTTTCAGTCAAGCAGGCTTGGCAAGGCAGGGGGCTTTATACAAGCATCCAAAAGCCAATCATGAAACTAAAATGCAGTGTAATAATAATAAAGCGACCTATCTAGAAACAGCAAAAGGCATACCCTTAGCAACAGTTCAACAGCCAAAGCAACAGCATCCCCCAAATCTAGACTGTTCTAGAGGAGATCGACCCTGACTGCTCTTTAGAAGGCGAAATACTGAAGATGAAAGTCAAATACTTTGGCCACCTAATGAGAAGGAAGGACTCCCTGGAGAAGAGCCTGATGCTGGGAACAATAGATGGCAAAAGAAGAAGGGGATGGCAGAGAATGAGGTGGCTGGATGGAGTCACTGAAGCAGTCGGCGTGAGCTCGAGTGGACTCCGGGGGATGGTGGAGGACAGCGAGGCCTCAAGGAATGTTGTCCATGGGGTCGCGATGAGTTGGATATGACTTTGCGACTAGCCACAACAACAACAAGTAAAGGCTAGTTACAAAGAACACAGCTTTGTTGCTTAATGGAAATTCAGAGGAAAGGAGGCCCCATGGATCTTTCAGGGAAGAGTATTGGAAAGCTTAGGTGGGACAGCTCTGGAAGTCCTGCCTTCCAGGCCCACCTGAGGGTAGCTCTGACATCACAGGGGTTACAGAACAGCGCATCCCAGTCTGCCCTGAGTACACAGGTAGGTTCGTCTGAGAGGAGGAGATGTTAAAATCAGTGCGTTCCGAACTGGGTTCTGAGCTCCCCATCAGACAAGCAACCTCCTTGCTGCCTGCGCCAGCCTCCTGATTAAACCATCCTTAAGCCATGGTGAAATATTGTGAAGCAGCAGAAGCAGGGTTCAGCTAAAAGCAGCCCTTTGTCTGCTGTGCCTGACATGGAAGACGATGTGGGTTGTATGAACGTCATTCCTCGAGCATTCACTGATTTCCTCTCAGCTCAGCTCATTTGGCGAGGCTGAGCCAAGTATGAGAGGAAGTCTTGAGGGATGGAGTCTGGTGAGTTTGTTCAAACTCTATGTCTGCTGCTTCAAAATATTTAGCTTAAAGGATTTAGCTTAAAAGCTTAAGGATCTCCTTTGGCTTCTAGTTTGCTTGCAGGTACAATGTGAAGTCTGGCTTTTTCTCACAGAACACTCTCTGTGGTCCGAGACCAACCTGTCTAACAACTGAGAACATCAGTGGCAAAGCTTCTCCAGGTGCTCCCACCTGCCTAGAGAAAGTGGGATTTCTACGCAGGTGTCCCCCTGATGCAACTGACTCCCCTTGTGCCGCCTCTGGGAACCTTTAAGGCTGAAACACTTTATTGTAAATGTCTGTCTAGTCGTGCTTATTGTCCTGTTTTTATTCTACAGTATCCACAGAGCCAGATATGGTTTGGGGGCTGGGGGCTTTTAAAATCTGGATCAGTCCCCCCATGCCTACCCTGGAATTCTAAAAAATGCAAATATGGCATAGCAGCTAGACGCAGAATGCTTTGGCTACTTTGGACCACAGTTGTCAGTCAAAGTGTCTCCGCTTCACCTGGTCCTTCGGTGGTGAATAAATAACGGGTGGTTACAGGTTTTTGATGTCATTTTTTCTTTCAGTTTCCTTGACTTATTACTAATAAATGCTCCTGGTCTCTAAGTATCTCCATTTGCACTTTTCTGGATTTGCTTTCAATATATATTTTTAAAGTGTGTTTTTGTGGTTTCTGTCTAGGACTGGGGAACCTCTTTCAGCCTGAACATCAATTTCAGAAAAGCTCTCAGGAGCTTCATTTTATGGCTGCTGAAGTCAAAGGCAAGAAAGGAGGGGCCAAAGAAGGAGAAGCATTAATGAATTAGAATTGGAATTGGAATGATTAGAACTAGCACTAGAAGAAGAACATCTTGTAGCTCAAAGCTCTCACAGCCAGCATATAAATGTTAGGAGAGGCATTGCTCTCTTTTAGGATGGGAAAAGTGCAAATGCCTGGAAATTACCAAGCAAGCAGTACCTGGGGGAAAGGAATGGGGCTGGGGGAGGGTGGATAGTCATCTGGGGAACCTTACTGGGCCAAACTGGGACCTGAACGGCTGGATTTGCTGCCAAGCCTTGGTTCCCCACCCCCGTTAGAGCCTATATAACCTTCCCCCAAAATTTCCGCAAACATGCAATGGTGGAGTGCAAGTTCTTAAAAACCAACGGGCAGATACATCCAACTTGTCCATGTCGATACTTCATCCTAAGAAGGGAGGCAGGGGAGCTACCATTCACCAACCCGCCTCCCAGCATGACAAATGCTGACATGCAGAAATCATGGAATTTTCCACATGGAAGCCACTTCTGTGTCAGAAATGCATCTCATCTTCTAAGAGCGGCCCACATGATGTCTCACTTTGGTAAAGCTCGCTAGAAATATGATCGGTTCAATGAAAGTATAGCACTTTCTTATCTTTTTAGATTTCTGCCAAGCTTTGTTGGGGAGAGAGAACAGCAACGTATGGTAAAATATTAAGAGTTAGGGAGAAAACCCTTCTAATTTACAGTTTTCACTTCAAGCAGTATCAGAGACCGAGGCGTTTTTGCAATAATGTGTTTGCCACCTGGACATGCAATTTGTCAGAAGTGTCTGTTACAAGGATTCACGTCCAAAGAGTTGTTTCACAAAAGGAATTAGCAGCTTCCCACCCCGCAAAATGGTACGGCTACAATTCTCCCAAAGGGCAATTCCTCAATTGCAAGATCAGCTAGACAGAAGCATTTTACATCATTGGTTATCAAGTAATAAAAAGGGTTTGATTTTATATAAGTGCTCGGGCAAGCAGATAGGCAAAGCTGTATAGAATGTCTCTATTTGCAGAGCAAGGAAATGTGGAATTCAAGCCATATGTCAAGATAACTCTTGCTGATAGACCCAAGGCAATTCAGTTTGCAGTCTTGCAGGAACGGCTTTCCCTCCAAACAATCAAGCCATTCCTTGCTTTAGCCTGTAATAGCTGTGTGTTCCTGGAGAATATGCATAACAGCACGGTATCAGCTCTGAACTGGCATTTCAATG